TAGAACCAGTTGCTTAATGACCATATGTATGGTGGCCATGGAATGGGTACTCTGTGGCCTGTAAAGCACCTCCCAGCCATTGTAAATGGAGTAGAGTAGAGTAGAGTAGAGTAGAGTAGAGTAGAGTAGAGTAGAGTAGAGTAGAGTAGAGTAGAGTAGAGTAGAGTAGAGTAGAATATTCTTTTATTGGCCAAGTGTTATTGGATACACAAGGAATTTGTCTCTGGTGCACCAGCTCTTGGTGTACATACAAACAGCAAACTCATAAATCATAAGATACAAACAAGAAAGTGATAAATTATAAGATATCAATAGAAGAAAGTATGTAATAGGAAAGATGAGAAGGATAATAGTAGTACATGGTTGCATCCCCACTGCTCCTCCCCAAAGTCATGTAATTGCATGCCAGGCTCTTGGCAACTAGTCTTTATGACCAATTGCAGGATTCCACAGTCACATGACTATCATCTGCAACATTTTTTGCTGGTTTCCTACTGTCTGGATTAAATACTTTGCAAGCTGTTGTAAAATACCATGTGACTGGACTGGACCAGACAGGATTTCCTTCAAGTGGGTTAGAATGAAACCAACAGGAGCAGAGGACTGAAGCAATTTAAATATTCAATGCAGGTATGCCCTGATGGAGGAAACAAATATTCTCACATTAATATGTCTGCGGTTACTTCCAAAGACAAATCATGAAACCAATAAAATAATAGACTTTGGGGAAAGCTATTGACTTACTGGATGTACATGTTTTTGCTTATTGGTATTGAATCACACACAGGAACTAAACAATAAAGGTAAAATTTAAAAGCCCACAGCTTATTTTTCTAGGTTCAAGTGGAGAAAGTTAGGTCTCTTTGTCATCAAAAATTTTAAAAAATAGTTTTAAGCTTAAGTTACCCATTCATTATGAGATATTATAAATATAAAGCATCCCCTTCTGACAGCATTTGGATTACCTCCTCTGTTCCTATAAACTCTTATTTGGAGCCAGAAAGTCTTATTATTTTAAATTTATTTCCATTGCAAGTGTATAGTTTGGGAATCAAAGCCATCACTGAGGATTTCTGAATGTATCAAGTATTATATGAAGGAAAAATGATGACCATATATGGCTATTTAGTTTTGTCCTAACAGTCAAAGAAACAATACTTCACCTTGCCTTTTATAAAGAAATGTTTAGATTACTTTTAAAAACTTATGTGATATGCAACTGATTGAGAACATAATAGTCAGTTTTCAGATTTATGAATATGAACTTACAGGTCACTTCCAGCTTGGCAGAAAGGGGAAAAAAGATCACATGGTGTAATCTCACAATAAAACATAAATCTATTCTGTATCCCATTGAGAACTTTGAAGTCCAACAATAGACCTTGCCATCAAGTTGTTTACTTTTTCTCTTCTAAACTGATCTTCAGCAAAATGGTATGATTAATTCAGCATTCCTTTCCCCCCAGAACCTACAGTATTGCTTAAAAATACCTTAAATGGTAAACAGCTTGGTCAATCTTGAAATGCATCAATTAATGCAAATTGGAGTAATGGACCATATCTTAGCAGGCTGAAAACAAGGTACTGTATATTTTCCATTGTTTCTTCCCAAAAGTCCTCTAATAAACCTCACATTTTCCTTCTCCATGACCTAAATAACCTAGCATTTTTAATACTTAGGTTCACGGTATGTTTCACCATATCCATTTCATTATTTACTATTATAGTTTCATGATGAGAGGGAAAAAAAGGTTACCAGGATGCATAAATATTTGAAATGTGTTATTTCCTCAAATGACTATTCAAGGAAGAGCCTACTAGAATGGCTTTACCCACTTTATTAAAATCCATCTACTATGGATGACAGATTCGTTCATTTTCTATGTTGTGTGGCAGATAAAATCTGCGGCTCAGAGTGTTGGAGATTTTCAAGTTCATTATGAAAATGCTAAAATCTACTTAACCCAAATGCTGTAATGTCAATAATTATTATTTTTTTGTTATGAATACAAAATAATACTGCCTAGTATGAAGGCAATGGCATGACTTAAAAAATTATTCATTATTGGCCTTTGAAAGATAGATTCAAGTACATTCAAGAATATACTGTTTATATACTCAAAGTAAATTTCACTGTGGTCAGCTAGCCTTCTTCCAGGCCTACTCAACTGACAAAAGTGTAATAATGATATATTTCAAAATCATTTTTATTTAATTTGGATATTGGTTGCCACGATAATTTGGTCACCATGACGTAGAAAAGATGTGGAGACTCTAGAAAGAGTGCAGAGAAGAGCAACAAAGATGATTAGGGGACTGGAGGCTAAAACATATGAAGAACGATT